TGCCCTTGTCTGTTGATGAAGGTCGTGATGGTAAACAAGTATGGTCAGTTTCAAGCAATACTCCTATGGTTTTGAAATAAAGTGAGGTGGTACAAAAAAACTTAACCAAGCTCAATACACTTTCTAAGTCAAAAAAGGGCCATAATTCTGTCAAAAACCTTGACAGAGTTATGTACTCTTGTCTGTAGATGGAGGTTATGATGGTGAACAAGTATGGTAAGTTTCAAAGCCATACTTGTAATACTTCTGAAATAAAGTGGGGTGGTACGAAAAACTTAACCAAGGTGTGACGCCAACGCCGACGCCGACGCCGGGGCGAGTAGGATAGCTCCCCTTTTCATAGAAAAGTCGAGCTAAAAATGTTTTAATGAACTGAATGGATGGTGTCTGAAGTTTAATTTGTGCCAGATAAAAAAAATCTGAAGGACATATTTATGCATCTAGAAAAAAGACATGACAAAATATATGACAAAAAATGTGAAAAGACAAAATAAGACAATGCACTGTGATAGTTAAAGAGTAACAAAACTAGGCCTAATAGTAACTAGATGTTACAAATCTCCATGTCTCACAATCTTATCCAAAACCACTTCAAACACAAGTGCTGCATTGGCTGTAAATAGACAAAATTAAGTTGCCATTGATAATAATTATGAAAACTTAAAACATATTATATAGCATACATCACAAATTATGCACATTTAAAACAGAGAACAGTCAATATCTAGTTTGAAACAATAAAACTATATTAATATACATTTATTAAAGAGAAAAGCCATATATTTAAAGGAAGGAAATATATTCATGTTATGATTTACCTGGGATCTTTGGTGGAGCACCTCTAGCACCATAGCCCATATCTGCTGGTACAACAAGCTTTCTTTTCTCACCTTCACACATTCTATACAACAAATACCATTATTAGCTTAGGTTTGGTATAATCATGCTTGATTTATCCACTTAATCTATACAGGAACATGTTACTGAATAATGAGTTGAAGATTGAAACATACATGATATTACAACTTACTTTTGATTTGGCCTCACTAAATGGTCCATGTAAACAATTATTCATGTATGTGGAAGGCATTTTTGGTGGTATGTGGAGAATATTTTTAAAATTTAACACCATTGCCTACATTATAAGCCAATTGGGGGCAATTCATCCAGAACAACGACAATAAAAGTACATAAAGTTCTATTAAAAACATGGGCATATTATACCTCATTCAACAAAACAACAATCCAGGTTCCCAAAAAACACTTCAAACCTGAATTCCTCTAGTGTATAGGAGTTTTACATGATTTTTTGTTAGATTTTAATAACTTTCTTTATTTCATTATAACATTGCAACGATTAATAAAACACACCCAGATGTCCAATCAACCGTCATAACATTGATAACACTTTAAAATACATTATTGTAAAAGTTTATAATACATACAACTGTAAATTGCAGAAATATAATCAACTGAATAATAAAGGAATATCTTAATTAGTATTTCTTAAATCCTCACAAATATTGAAGGTGAAGTAAAGTTTACCCTAAAAGTCCTTGATCCCAACCCTTGATAACCTGACCAGTTCCAAGGGTGAATATAAAAGGTTGGTTCCTGCTATAACTGCTGTCAAATTCCTCTCCAGTCTCGTGCAAGGTACCCTTATAAGAAAAATTTGAAGAGTTAATATTTCTGTAATATTTCAAAATTTAATGTTTTACCAATAGAATAAATGGGCTTAAAATATTTATTTTTTTCAGAACTGAAATTTTTTTTACTATATTTTCAAATAAATTTTCAAGATTTTAACTTAAAATTTATAGAAAATTTATATTAAACATGTTCTTACTTTGTATTGCATATGAAGTGTATCTCCCTTACGGGATTTCATAGGACAGCTTTCTGCTCGTTTTTGGATCCCTATCTGTAGTTTCTTTGGTTTCTTGTCATCATCATCATCACAATGTGAGGTCCAAATCACTGCTGCCAACACCAAACTGATGCAAATCATGGTATACTTCATTTTTTACCTAAAAACAGATTAACAAATACAATAACATATATCTTCAAATGAGAAAAAAAGTGTATAAAATTTTTCAAGATCAATCAATAATTAAATTCAGTACCAAGCAGAATGGTTTGTGCCATATAAAATAACAGTTCCCATCTCCATAAAATCGCGATAATGAAATAATGATGAAGTAGGAATAGAAAGCAGGCATTGTCTAAAAACATCATCTTGAAGATCTTCAGAAAAAAAAATGAAAAAATTATAAGCAATTCAATCAATCCAGCATGTCTCAAAAAAATTAGCATACTTTATCTAATGCTTTCCTCACTTCAAATGCTTTATATTGCTCTCTTTAACAAGCTCAAAAGAGATTCAATAGATTGCACTGATATTCAAACCGTATCATCAATATGATATATAATTTTTGGTTCCACGCAAATAAGCTAACCGAATTATTGGCTATCCGGATATTATTTAACTTCACAATTATTTTTAATGGTAAATTCCTTTTAAACAAATAGATGCTTAAAATGAAGTTCATTTATAATCTATAAATAAATGTGTTCATATTTATGAAAGTACCCTTTAGAATGGCTGCACTACAAGTTCTTGATCAAGTTTCGTTTCGGATGCGGATGCAGGGACCGTGCAGGACACGTAGCGTGAAAATTACGCTGCTGTGAAAATCGCTTGAGATCTACAGACTGCAACAAAAGTAATTACCTTATTTTTATAAATGACGTACACTGAAAAGAGTAGGAAAAATTGTTAAATCATTGGCTAGTTTATCTTTAAGAGTCCCCAAGGATCCATCCTAGGTCCTTTTTCATATCTTCATAAATAATATCCTTTTTTTGTTGCACACATTTATGTGTACCGTGGTAAATGCAGATGGCAACAGTTTATCTTTTCATTCTAAATTTTTGAAGAACTGACTTGTACTCTAGAACAGGAAACTGGTTTAATTGTAGTAATACATGTACAATGCAAGCTAACTTAGATAAGTTCCTGTTCTACATCAATGACAGCCCGGAGGATTTCATTGCAGTCGTCCAACTATTTGCATGATACGTTGGCCTACCTTGTCATCACCAACAAGTCCGACTGTTCCACCCTACAAGCTGACCGCGACAAACTAGCTGTCTGGGAAGTGAAATGAAAAATGTCATTTCACCCAGACAAATGCCAAGTCCTCACCATCCCCAAGAAAAGAAGCTCCATCTGCGTCAACTACACTCTTCATGGCCATACACTAGAGCACGCCACATCAGCTAAGAACCTCGGATGCCCTCTGAATAACAACCTAGACTGGGTCAAACATATACATAACATCTGCAACAAAGCCAACTTTCCTGCGAAGAAACCTTAACATCGCCTCTACTTCCACCAAAGAAACGGCCTACAAATCTCTAGTCCGTCCCACAGTGGGGTATGCAAGCACTGTCAGGGGCCCCAACGAGAAGGGAGACATACACCATCTAAACATGGTCCAACGACGAGCTGCACGGTATGTTAAGAACAAGTATCACAATAGGTCAAGCGTCACAGACATGCTTGCAGACCTGGAATGGAAGTCACTACAAGAACGTCGCAAGGAGGATATGCTCTACAAAGTCATCAACAACAAGGTCGCTCAAGACAACTCACAACTAATTCCTTCCAACACAACATCTACAAGAAATACACATAATTAACTTATCCTAGAAGATCCCCTACTGCCTCACCCAATAACGTCAACAATCCTTCTTCCCACGCACCATCAAAGACTGGAACACAGCCTCCCTCCGGATGCTATGTCAGCCGGTACAATTGAGTCATTCCGTACTCATCTGTCCCAACTCTTAATCTAATAATCTGGAAACCAAGCGATCCCTCGGAAGCATTAATCACAACAAAACATCTAAACCGCACTTTTGTCCGTTTATAACCTGCTATATTCGTCACTATTTTACTCTTTCTTTCCCTCTTGCGCATTAAACTGAAGTTGAAGGTGGCCAGTATACTGGAAGAAGGAGAAGAATAACAAGCAACGGTGCGTGACCACGTGACATCTGTTTACGATTTTAGTTGGGTCACTGCTAATTGTATTGTCGCTTCCAATGGAACATGTAACCATGGAGCTAATATATACATGTGTATGTATAACTGTGATGTACTTTTCATTGTAGCATTGTAGGAATGATAATGTACACAAATTAGGATCAATAATCAATTTACCCAGAATTAATATTTTGCTTAAAATAAATTCCAATTGATTTTTATTGTTTATTGTAAACTCATAACATGTTTTATGTTCAAACATGTAGTTATATTTGATTTCGTGTACATGCATATTGTCTTTTATTGTTAATTGTGTAAAAATATCTGGAAAAAAGCGATAACTCAGAAGCATTAAAAACAGCAAGAATACATGAAAATTGCAGGCGGTACTCAATTTTTAATTTTCAACACTTAAAAGTGCTTGAATCAATGAAACCCAAAGGACCAGGAAAATATAACAACACTGCAGATTATTAATATAGTTGTATATATGTCCAGCTCTTCATGTACATAAAAATATTTGCGTATATGTTCAGCTCTTCATGTACATTGAAGGAAAATAAATAAAGTATTCTTATTTAAGAATACCCGTTATGCCTGCAGCAATTTTTCTATGCCGTAATATTTTTATTAAAATGTGTGTCACAATTTCTGCAAGAATATCGGAGAAAAGTACGAGAGCTACATTGAAAAAAATATGCACCACTGGAATCGGAAAATATTTGCCTGGAAATGGTATGTAAATTATTCAAATATTGAAAAATAAAACGAAACATTAGCGAGGGTGGGTCATTATGAAATGCAATATGCTTGGTCAATAAATTAAATAAAAGAACAGATATTTTATAATTTTCTATTTCAACCCTTTGCACGGACTTTGATTGATATACTTTGATTGATAAATCTGTGATTGTCGCCATAAATATTACAAATATCATTATAAATATTGAAAGCAAATTTTTCTGGTTTTGGTCGAGTTTTTATGTAAAATATGAAACAAGATCACGGATTTATATTACATTTATATATTTATGTAATATAAATCCGTGACAAGATTAACAAGGAAAGGCGACAACTCCCACACGACCCAGGTAAACCCGTATTCCGGCACTTTTAACTGCCCGTTTACCAATCTAATTTTACATGAAGTTACTCGTGTAAGGTATTTTTAAATGTTAATAAAATTCATTGACTGCACTTTTGATTTTTATATCATTTAAAAGCAGATGCTGTAATTAAATCATAGCATAGCTTACACAAACACAAGAATCACGAGCTCAATTAGAAAATTCACTTCATATTGCCATCCTCGTACTATTAGCGGTGACCCAATGTTACCTTAAACGCGATTGCATGGCCACACTGAGTCGGTTAAGGAAACATTTCAAAAGTCTCAAAAGAGAATACTAGCTAGCGACATTATAGCGTGATGAAACTTTCAAACTTCTTGGAATTGAATGATAGTAAAAAGGCAGCTAATCAGTTGAGTATACTCATAGTAGATCACAACTTAAATCAAACATCTAGGTTAACAAGCCTGCCACACTTTTATGTTATCAAACTTTAGTTTTTGTCCAATGACATGACATTTTGCCCAGAAAACAGTATAATTAAGATTGGAAAAATGCAGGAAAAGCTTTTAGATTTGTTAACAATGTTTTTTTTTTCATATTTGTTAAAAAAGGAGAGTGATGGTTGTAACAATTGAATATTTTAAGATTTCATGATGTGTCTCGGTTATCGAATATTCATGTTATGTCTTGGTTATCGGTTATCGAATGTTATTGTATTTATAAGGTAAATATACAATGTAATTTAATTTTTAGAGGTATTTGAAAGATCTCGACAAGGGTGTGATATCTTTTTAAGTTTATAATCCAGACAGGATAATTTGCAGACAGGAAAAAAAGTCGACCTGGGGGATGATATTAACAAAACTATTTAAAACAAAGTGTCAATAAAACGTGGCGAACTTTTTTTAGATATCCTATACATAATGACGTCATCAAAATTTATTATACGGATTGCATTGGTGTTTACCATCCCGGTGACCTACTTACAAAATATAAGAGAGGAAATTCATAGAAGTGAAATTTAAAAGGTACTTATTCAGTTGAGTGAATGTATTAGTCGATTTTTTTCATATTATTGTTTTGATACATTTTTATCTTCATTCTTTAGCATTTATAAAGGCTTTTGGTACTTGCTTGCTCTTAAAGAATTTTCACTGGTGCAGTGGTGGGTGGGGCAATCAAATATTTTCTGTTGAACTTTAGAGTGGCTTAAATCGTCCCTGTCTAAGAGTAATCACGGAATCAACATCATTTCTGTTTGTGTCACAAAGTCTTAACAGATTCTCGTTATAAAAGAACACAATTGGATATTTAAATAACATCAAAGCAAATTTCATTGTAGGCCTATCTGCCAAATACTGTAATTTTTTACCAACAAATAGAAATGGTTGGAGACCACCAAAACCGGACGACTATCAAACCTAGACGGCATTGAAAATGCTTGTTTAAGTTGTTTGACTTGTTAATTGTTTTTATCAACTAAAATGCATGTTTCTTCTATTATTAAGTATTTAAATTGAAGTTAAATTTCTTAAACATAATGGTTTTAAGAACATTCAGTGTTCTCGGGGACGCTTATTTCGGCGTCCCGGTACGCATGTTCATTACAGCTGGACGCAAATATTTCAGAGCAAGGATTCCGCGTACGCTTAATTTTGCCTGGGCAGGCATAAACATTACCGATTGTTTACAACCACAAATACACAAATACGTCAGCGCGTGTCAGTCTATAGTATAGGTAGGCGGTCCTATGCACTTCGACCAGTGAAGCCGATTAGCCGGTCTCACTAAAAAGCGTCCCGAAGGATTTTAGCGTCCCGAAGCGTCCTGAAGCGTCCCGAAGCATTATTGTTAATTTGAACAGTCAGAATGGTCATATTTATTGTAAATAATGTATATTATTATGTATTGAGGTATTTATGGTAGAAAAAATAATCTTACTTATCATTTTTTCTATTTATATAAAAAACAAACATACCTTCGACTCCAGTTCACTTGCTCAAAAACCACCGTATACCGACAAAGCGTCCGGAAGGTTTAATGTTTATCGAAACCAAAATTATTTTGAAATACTTCGTAATTTTAGTTAATGAAATAGTAATATAAGTAACGATAGCGAGAAAAATGTTTTCCATACATAAAATATCTTTATAGCGCCCGAAATCCTACATCTATCCACGCATAGTTCAAGTCGCGTACTGACTAACATAGCGTCCCGAAACGTATTCATGGTTTTTATTTTTATCTTAGCAAAGATAAATCGTAATTAAGTTCTTTTATGATATGTGTAAGTGACATTAAAAAGGAAATAAACATTTCATCCACAAAATATTACTTTACAGCGCGAAAACTGACGTTTCCCATGTTGCGCTAACAAAGCGTCCCGAAGAATTTAGCGTCCCGAAATGTCATGAAGCGTCCCGAGGCATTATTGTTAATTTAAACAGTCAGAAGGGTTATATTTATTGTAAATAATGTATATTATTATGTATTGAGGTATTTGTGGTAGAAAAAAAATAATCTTTATTATCATTTTTTTCTATTTATATAAAAAACAAACATACCTTCGACTCAAGTTCACTTGCTCAAAAA